TTTTATATATATATATTTTTTTTTCTTTTTTTTTGGTACCAGGGATTAAACTTGGGTCCTTGTGCTTGCATGGCAGGCCACCAAACTGCTGAGCTAAATCCCCAGCCCTATGATATATTTTTAAAGCAAAATATTTATTGGTACATTTTAGATATACATAATGATAACATTCATCATGGGGAATTTGTACCTATGCATGATACATCTTGCTTCTTTTTTTTTCCCAGTCCCCCACCCTTCAACATTCCTTGCCCACCTTATTTACAAAAGCTTTATTTCCATTTTTCTTCTACTCTTTTTTTCTTGACCCTTCTTTCCTTTCCACCTCCTTTGCTTCCCTTCTCATTTGAACATGGTATTTTTAAGGTTTTCATTTTAAAATTTCTCTAAAGTTCTAAGATCCAAGATAGATAGCCAGCATTGATTTGCTTCTAGTGACAAACTGTCATGATAATTTTTAAACTTCTTTTTTTTCTGGTACCAGGGATCGAACTTGTATCCTTGCGCTTGCAAGGCAGGCAACCGGACCACTGAGCTAGACCCCTGGCCCAATTTTTAAATTTCTAACTTGGTGAAGAATTGCTTTGAAGTCAAAGTAATAAAATGTGAGACAAGTTTTATAAAAAGATCTCTTTAATTTATATTCTTCAGAATTTAGCACCATTCTCAACCTCAGGGGAATGGAATTTCAAACTATCCAGGAACATCACTGTTTCCTGTTGATGGACTCCCTCGTAGTGTAGTAAGTGAACAGCAAAGTTTTTCTAACTGGATTTGTAGAGCAATACGTGTTTAAATATGAGAGCAAAACTATATAAGACATGGGGAACCATAAGAAATTACAGGGATGTGCACTTAACATGATGAGATGTGATGTGATGTGATGTGTGAGTGTGTGTGTGTGAATTATGTGTCTCAGAGTCAAGCAGGAGACATCTTTGGGGGAACATGAGGATCTGCTATGATACAGAAAGTATCTATGGAGCCTTAGGCATTCTGAACTTTTCCTTACCCTAGCTAGGTACAAGACAATCTCATGTACGTTGGCAAATGCTCACCTCTTTCCAACAGGATAGAACACACAAACGTGTTATTCAGTCAGAAGAGGTGGATGTCTTTGTTCAGTTTTCATTTCAGTCTCTGTGTTTAAATTTGCCAGATATATCATTTCCAGCTGTAATTCTATTGATATATTCTCCACCTTCTGATTCTGACTATCTTAAAAGCCCAGAACCTGAGAGATAATTTTATTAAAATGATCATTTCAATAAGATGATATAACTGACATCCCACAAAGAAGACAATAAGCATATTGGGAAGAGGAATTATCATAATTTAATGAGTAGGAAAAAGTTTGTGTAACTGTCATTTTTAGTCATAGGCCCAGCGTGTGTGTGTGTGTGGGGGGGCTTGGATGTAATCTCACACAATTGTGTATTATTTAGTGAGCACTAAATGAATAAAGGTGAGTCAGTTTGATCATATACTAGAATATGGAGTTAATATTTGATGTCAAATTGAGTTTCTTCACGATCTTTTCACTTGAAGTATATTTTTCTTAGTTTTCCTTAGACATTGATAAGAATATCTGACATTTCTTGCTAGAGAACAGTATGATTAAATAATCATTGGAACTATAGCAACAAAATAACTATTTCACAGGATCTCTGAGTCAAAATTATACATTACATATATGTTGACAGCGCTTAGCTTATTGCTCATTAATATTTTAGTTAATTGACTTTACTTAGTATAAGGTTCCATGGCATCCAGAATACTACAGTGCCTGGAAGCAAAGTCAAAATAGCTACAAATACAATACATTCTCTTGGAGAACAATCAGTTTTGGGGTAACATGAATTTCTCAAAATAACTGAAAATACATTGAGTTTTTAGTCTAATCATGAGATACTATTATTTATGATTATTCAGGGTCTGGATATGTACTAGATGATTATCAGCTATGCTTAAAACTCAATCTTCATGACCTATAAGCAATTACCAAAAACAAACCAATTGTCTCATGTATCCCTGGATGATGCTACCATAGATTAAAAGTGAAGAATATTCTGAACAAAAATTCATAGAGGAAATGTCAAAAATGTTAGCTGTTTGTTATAAAGCGGATATTTAGTATTGGAAAACACATAAAAGCTATTTACAGCCAATGAAACCAAAACAACAATAGCAAACAGAAACAAACAAAAAGAGATACAAAAACTTGCGCCATGTACAAAAATGTGTACATGCCTTTAAAATTTTATCTTTCAGAACACTGGGTTATTTAATCCTGAAAGCAAATCAAGTAACTTTGCACAATGTTGTATAAAACACTTGTCTTTATGATGGATGATTCTCTGTGAATAAATAGTGTACTTATAAAGCTGATTGTATATTTTGTTGTTCACTCATAGAACTAAGTGGTTGTAAATATAAAAAGAAATAGTGTAAGTTGTTCATATTCAATTTGAGTAATGAGTCATAAGAAGTGTTTCACCATAACTTTGAAAAATTCATCACATTAAATTCATTCTATGTAAATATGTTTTGGGGACTTTCCCTGAAGTCTTCCACCCATTGATTAATTTTAAAATGCTCCATTTGTATATGTGAAGGATTCCTTAAGAAAAATAATAGGTCACATTTTTAAAATATCAGTAGTGTAAGAGAAAGTTGAACTATAAAAAGGAGTTCACATGAAATGATTCATATTTTTTCTCTTGATATTCAACCTGATGTTCAGCTCTAGCTCTGGACTTTGAGAATTTGCTTTCTATTCCACAGACATGGAAAATAAATGATCAAAAAATAATTATGGAGACAAAAATCCTTATTCTATATTTAAATCAACTCTTTATCACCATACGTATAGCTGCATCTAATACTTCTGTGTAGTAAACGTTCAGGCTTTAATTGGACATGTTACCTCTTACATCCTTCCAACTTTACCTACCAGTTCAGGGTCCAAGCCAAATATTATCCAGTTGTCAGAATTCTGACTCACTATACCTAAGAGCATTTCTAGACGTATAGCAGAGTTAGCAGCGAGGGATTACAGTCAGGATAAATGGTCCCCAGGATCAACTTTAAAACAGTGCTTTATGATGACAACGTGTTATGTCAACAATCCTATATGTTCCCTTAGCATATTGATGTAGAAGACGATCTGTTTTAGAATTGTATTTTATACTTTGTATCCCCACAGCGCTACATTTTACATATTTCCATCAATTTTTTAAAAAAATGTCGCTCGTGACACAGGAGATTCTGGTAAGTATAGTTGGATGAAGGAATGATTAGGCAACTGAATGATTCAACTTCCGCATTCTTTTGCTTGCTTGTGTTCAAATCCAAGTGTCCCTGATTTCTGGGCTATAAAAGCATCAGTGACAATATACCTTGTTAGAGGGGTCATAAAGACTTGGGGCACAACTGCAAAATAGTAAAATTTAGAGCTACAGGGGATGGATTAAACCATTTGTCTAAGTGGATTCTTGTGTGTTATCCTGTGAAAGGCTTCCTTCACTTCCTTGTTCCTCAAAGTATAGATGACAGGATTCAGAGCAGGTGTGACCACCGTGTACATGAGTGCAGTGGTCTTGTCTGTGTCTGGAGTGTGCGCAGCCTTGGGTTGGAGATAAGTGAACAAGGCTGTGCCAAAGAACAGAGAAACAACCAGGACATGAGAGGAACATGTGGAGAAAGCTTTGTGTCTGCCAGTTGCTGAAGGGATCCTGAAGATGCTCACAATGATACGCACATAGGAGCACAGAATGAGAAGACAAGGACCCATAATAAAGACCATGGAGACAGCAAACAGCACTCTCTCATTGTGAGAAGTATCCACACAAGCCAGTTTCACTACAGGCATGATGTCACAAAAAAAGTGCTCAATCTTTCCTGTCCCACAGAAGGGCAGTCTGAAGATCCAGGTGGTCTGAGCTGACTCCACGACCCCTCCGGTGATCCATGATGCTGCAGCCAATTTCAAACAGACAGGAGGGCTCATCCGGACAGTGTAGTGAAGTGGGTAACAAATAGCTACAAAGCGGTCATAAGCCATGGCTGCTAGCAGGCAGCATTCTGTCAGGCCCAAGATGGTAAATACATACATCTGGGCTGCACAGGCCCCCACACTTATGGTCTTGGTCTCCACCAGCAGGTGCACCAGCATCTGAGGAACCACACTGGTGATGTAGCACATCTCCAAAAAGGAGAGGTTCACCAGGAAGAAATACATGGGAGTGTGCAGGGATGGGGTGACCCAAATCAGACAGATGATGATGAGGTTTCCTCCCAGCGTAAATAAGTAGACTATTAAGAACACCATGAAGAGTACAGGTTGTAACTCTGCTAGTGAAGAAAAAGCCAAAAATGTGAATTTAATGCAGAGGGACTGGTTCCCACTCATCATGGGCTCAGAGCCAGACATCTGTGAACACAACAGAGAAAGCAGATAGTACCTAGAAATCCAGTCATCTAACACATCCACTTATTTGTGCATATATTTTTACTCATTTTGATTTGAGCAGAATAAGCAAAGATTAGACAGGTAATAGTCAAAGCAACTACCACTAATGAAATCTCCTTTCCATAATTTTAAAGCAATTTTACAGGAAATTGTGACTATGAGGACATACCTAGAACTGCAAGGTAAATTTCCTTTTTCCGTTTGGGCTTCTAAACTTCCTACACCCCAAATTATAACATGATGATAGAGTAGGCAGCACTTTTATTCTGTTTAGAGACCATAGGGATTATGTATATCATGTGGCTTAGTTATGTTAGTCTCCAGAGGAATATGTTAAAAAAAGAAAGAGCAATGAATGTTCTTTGTTTTTGTTCTTTTGGACTTTCTCTGACATCCAGCTAACTAAATGATGCTTGCTCACACTGATGGTGGATCTTTGCTACCTGGTCCACACTCAGACTCACATGCTAATGTCTCCTGAAACACCATTGCAAACACACCTAAAGTGATGGCTTCTCAGCTGGTTAGGTATTATGCAGCCCGTGCAAATTAATACCTAAAATTAACCAACACAAGTTCACCTCAATCAATTTAGCATTCAAGTGCATCTCCTTAAACTATACTTAAGTTAAATAAAGATGGTAAGAAGGTGGAGCTATCCTGTACACAACAAAAATGTATCAATTCCCTCCCCACTAGAGGAGAAAAATTTTTTTTGATTGATGCTCCCTTTTTTCTTGATATCCAATTACTTAAATACTGTGGCATAAAATCATCACTAAATACTGATATGTGTGGTCAGTGAACCTTATGTTACATGACAGAAACAAGAAAGGAATGTAAAGAAAGATTTTTTAAAACTGTATATTGGTGCATGTATTTAGATATACAGACTTTATGAAAAATGTATACATCAGGAAAAGAAAAATTTGTATAGATACTTTATTACTAAGTCTATCAAGGTGTCTGAGATTAATAAAAGTTACCCTTGGCCACTACTTACAAGAGGTACTCAAAGTTGTGGCCATTAGCTTACAGGTGTTTGTTAGTAAGGCCAAATGCTGAAGTGTTTATACAGTTTTTGGTGTACTCTCTATATATGTATTTTTTATTGTTAATTTGATTGGCACATTTTAGGTATAAAATATAATCACATTCATCATTGGAAATTTGTACATTTACATAATATATCATGCTTCTTATTTTTCCCCATTCCTCTGCCCTCTCTTCAACCCCTCCACCCCTCCCTATTTATAAGGACTTTGTTTCCATTTTTTTCTTTTCTCATATTAATTACATTCCCTTCTTTCCTTTCCCCTACCCTTTCCACTTCCCCTTCCCCTTGGATCTTTTCTTCCTATTTCACATTATCTATTGTGCCTTTTGATCCTTATTTACATGTTTAGTTTCTCACACCAGAGAAACTCTTTGGTATTTACAAGTGTGTCCTATTTATTTCACTTAAGAATATCACCTCAATGTGCATCCATTATCTATAAATGTCTCTAATTTCTCATTCTTTATGGCTGAGTAGTACTTCATTTTATTAAAAAGCACATTTTCTTTATCCAGTCTTCAGTTGATGGGCAGTTGGGCTGTTTCCAAGTTTCAGCTATTACAAAATGTGCTGCTATGAACATGGGTGCACATAGCATCTTTGGCCCACAGGCCCCAGACAAAGACCTTTCTGAAAAAGAGCTGCACAGGTGCACAAGCAACAGCCAGAGGTTTGCCCGGATTCCATTGGTAAAGGCACACAGATCCCAGTGAGAATCCCACATGGTCCAGTCAGGAATTCACCCAGACTTTAGCAGCTTGGGTCCACAGACCCCAGCCAAAGGCCCACCTAGAAAAGAGCTAAGCAGGTGGGTAAGCAATAGTGAGAGGCCCACCCAGATGCCACTGGTAAGTGTATGCAGACCCTAACAAGGAGCCCACCCAGACACCAGTGACTTGAGTGCACAGCTGCCAGCCCAAAGCCCTCCCAGACAATAGTTATGCAGTGGGGAAGGGCCCAGCCAGAGGCATGCCCAGATATTATCCCTAGTATGCATAGGCCCCAGCCAGAACACAGTCTGGACAACAGAGCAGCATGGAGATCTAGGTAAGCAGCAGAGAAAGGGCCTGTTGTTGGTTTTCTGAGAATTGAAGACCACTGGTGAGCAAAAAGTCACCTCAACAAATGCACAGCATGCTGCATCTATTGAAATGAGAAGACATGTAACCAAATCTCAAAACTAGACTTCCAGATCGCTTAAGGCAACCCTAAAGGGCAATGAGATGGAACAATCTGGTACTCAACCACCTGAACTCCCCGAATGAAAGAGGATCTGGAAAAAATGAAATCAGAAATAATTTATCAGATAACAGCAGGGATTGTGTCCCTAGTGTAAGACATGATTAGTAAGTCTAGAGCAGACACATATTTAAAAAAAAATAGAGGAGCTGAGGAACCTGATGGAATCTCAGCCTAGGAAACGGAATCCATAAAGCAGATGCAAACAGATACCCAGGGGATGAAAAACTCCACTGATAGTTTACACAGCAGAATGTACACATGCATCCTTAAAAAAAATGAGAAGTTACAGTTCTTTCTGTTACTACTCATGTTGTCATAGCTGGTATTTATATCTATCTACTTTCATTATCCAATCTGTATTCTTTTGCCTTCATCAAATACAGCAGCTTGTAGTGATTCTTTACACGCTGATTTGACCTAATGATCCGTCATTATCTCTAATGACCTACAAAAAATATGTGCTTACTGCTTTTTCAACTTTATACTTTATGCTCTGCTAGCCTAGAGATCTTAGAGGGAAAATGTTTCCACCAACAGACACAACAATGATTTCATTGAACTGGAAGTTTAGCCTGTCAGAGGGTCACATTGAGTTCAACACTTCTCTGAGTCAATTGGTTGAAAGGGAAGTTATGATGTTGGGCAGATCAACTTACCAGAATTCTAAGGGGAAACTCCATTTTTACTTCACAGTGGAGGGAAGGAAAAATCCACTTGGAATAGAAGAGACTTCCTCAAATATGCTTTATTACTTCCATGCTTCATGATTAAGGTCAACAGAAAACTATAGCAATCCAGGTGAATCATTTCCAACCCTTTGTTGCTGAAGTGGTGAATCTTGGCTAAGAGAAAACTGTACAATATATTGGATGCTGGTTTATAGTATTTGCGGCTTTCTTGCTCCAGGTATGAAAAGCACTGTCACCTAGTTGGAGCTGTGCTTATGGTCTCAAAAGGCCACTCTACCGTCCTGTTAAACTAGCTGTTTCAGGATGATGGTGAACATGGTAAGATCAGTGAATTCCATGAGCACACCCTCATTGTTGCACTTCCTTGGGGGTGGTGAAGTGACTTTATTGGCGAGGAGCAATGCCCTGTGGAATGTGTTGATGGTAGCTAAGGTATTCTGGGAGTTCATGGATAATAAGTTTTGGTAAAAACAAGGTGTGAAAGGCAGGTAAATCTTCATTTGTGCCACTCCAATTTGGACAAAATACTGTCTCTTCTGGGATGGAAGCAGTCTAATATAACTAACACACCACCATGTAGCTGACATATCACCCTGAGAAATCATGCCAGGTAGAAGACACATTTGCCAAATCATTAGCTCCATATCAGCTACCAGTAGATGTATTAAGCAAAGAGATGTCTTCCATTCAGCTTTTCCATAACAATAGCCCTCTCTTCATAGGCTAAGGAATGAATATGGAGGTTCTGTCAGCTGATAAAAATTTCTCTTTCAATTGTGTATTCTGGACCCAGGGAAATGACTACAGGTTGGGATTGGGATCACACTGGACCTACTATAAGTTGGACCAAATCTAAAACTTTATTGATGGCCTTACATCCATAATCCCCTAGTATAACTGGAGGGATTAGATTTCCTGGAATCAATGTAAGTTCAAAGCCAATGTCCAACACATATCAAAAGTACTGATTATTGTATCATTTCCTTTTCCCAATGCATACTTACTCTGGTAAGAGACTAGGTCCCTTTGGGGAAGAATAAGATAAAACTTAAAAGGATACATTTTTAGTTGTGTGCTGGGATCCTTTTTGGAGGGAACCTGGCCTCAATCTCATTCAAGGGGTCCTGAGTCTATAAATTGGTTTAAGCATGAAAATTGTTAGAGAAGCTGTGATTCTATATTTTTACATTTCATGTAAACTTTTGTTAACTTGATGTACACATTTCTGCTTATACAGATTAAGTAAGAACTGAATAATCTTTCTATTTCACTTCTAGGAACACCATAATTAACAAATGCCACAGAGCTTTACAAATCAGACTATTCTTATTGCTCTCCACTATGGCAAATATTTTCACCTTGCCTTTGATGATTCAAGGTTATCACCTGATCCCTTCCACCCTATGAGGCACTTAATTATTCCTATTGCATTTAAGTTGCTGAGTTGAGTGACCAAGGAACCCACTGTGAGGATTGACCTGCAGAAAAGAACAATCACAGAACTTTTCAGGGATGCTGGTGTCCACCTCACAAATTTATTTCTCCAAATACTGGTAAAAAGTATGTCTTTTGGATTTTCCCAATGAGTGAATAGAATTTATATAAAAACTCCACTCTAGCATTTCAGTCTCCAAAAGCCTTGTATCCTTTTCTGTACTGTAAATTCTGGGATATGGAATATCTGCAGCTTACTCACAGTGGGCCATCTTATGATCTGTGGTTTACCCAACTAACCAATTTAACAATCTCACCTTTCCTAACAAAACAAATTGTAAACATTAAATGTAAGATCTTCTCAGTGAATTGGTATCAATACATTTGGCTTGATCCAACTTAATTTATTTCTAACATTATTTTGCATCCTTACTATGTATTTCCATACATGTTCTCATCATTTCTGCTTGTTCAGATTAGAAAACTCAAGTATTTCCTAGAGGCGTTCTAATGGGTTCCACTTTGTGCCTCACCTTTAG